GGGGTGAAAATGGACACTAGAGCAAAAATACATTGAGAGTAATGCAAAATGTATAGGGTGTTCATCTTGACCCCAAACCCGGGGTGAATATGAACAGGTATAATTTATTTTTTAAGTTAGATTTTTTGTATTTAATTTTTTAAACTTAAGTTATTATATTACCTAAGTTTATTACCTATTATATAAGTCTCTTTATAAAACAACAAATACATTATATTGATATCTTATTTAACAAGAAAGTTATTCAAGAAAAACCAGAAAAAGTTTTCATCTTCACCCCGGTTTACGGTACAAATCTATTAGAAGTGTATAGAAGAACATCATTCTTTGTAGAGTCTTCACTATTAAAAGCAACACAATAATATTAAATAAGTTAACAGTGTGGGAATCAAAATCATGAAAACAAACAAACGTGGTGAGTCGGGGGCTCAGTTGATGATGTCACGGATTTCATGCCCAAGGCAGCGATATCGTGGGTCACTCTGGTCACTGCCGCAAAGTGTTTTTCAGTACAGATTACCTTTGTACTGTACCGGGTCAACTCTTGCTTTGCTGGACACGTTCCACGCACAGATCTGTAGTCTGTGTGGACGGGAAAGTGCAAAGATTAAAGAGGCCGCCAATCTAAAAAAAAAAAAATAAATAATAAAAAACAAAAGTAAAAAATGATAGAAACTCTACGAACAACAATTTAATGTATTTTTTACATTCTGTTATCAATTTTGAACTTATCATTATGTTTATGCTTTTCCAGTGGCTCGGAGGATGAAAACGACACTATTTCTAGCTACAACTTTAAAAAAAGAAGATTTTTTTTCTAATGAACTTGCTTAAAATAACAATCCAGACATAAAAGAATGAACAAAAAAATAATATTTGTAAAATACGAAATACAGTTGAAGCCAGTGAATCGGCAAATTAAAAGAATTTAAAAAAAAACATGTAAAACTATTTTTATAAAAAAATATGATTAGTACACGATCAGCAACAGATTCTCAACTGATAAAGTAATAGACTTACAATAAACGGTATCAGCATTCTGACACATACTTTCTCCCATAAGTTTGTCAACAACCTTTATCATTGTGTAAGCGGTGAGAGTAAATATACGGAAATGGGATTTGTAAGATTTTCTTCAGAATTTAAAGGACTATAACATACTAAATTTTTATCAAAATCGTTCGAGCCAATATTTGGAAAATCCGATTTTCCGTTATTTTATGGGGTTTTTATGGGGAAATAACATAATTTACAATAACTTTTGAACCGTAATTTTTACAGAGATGGGATTTGTACCATTTTGTTCAGAATATAAAGGACTATAACATACTAAATTTTTATCGAAATCGTTCAGGCCATTTTTGGGAAAATCTTTTTTTCCGTCATTTTATGGGGTTTTATGGGAAAATACCCATTAAAAATACAAATTTCTAAGAAATGAGAAAAACTATCAAAATTGTAAGGATCATAACATACTATGTTAAATAAAAACGGATTTTTTTTGTCTGAAATCCTATTTTTCGTTATTTTATGGAGTTTTTATGGGAAAATAACATAATATACCATAACTTTTGAACCGTAATTTTTACAGAAATGGGGTTTGTACCATTTTGTTCAGAATTTAAAGGGCTACAACATACTAAATTTTTATCAAAATCGTTCGGGCCATTTTTGAGAAAATCCGATTTTTCAGGTTTTTTATGGGTTTTTATGGGAAAATCCCCATTAAAAATCAAAATTTCAAAAATTAAAAAAACACCTGGAGATACCATGGATTAAAACCTACATACCAAATTTCATCGAAATCGGACCACAGGTGTAGTCTCTAGCTCTGTACACATCCAGACACACAGACACACAGACACACAGACACACAGACACACACACACACACACAGACATCACTTCGAAAACCACTTTTTTGGGTCCAGGGGGACCCAAAACGAATATATCCACTCAAAACTCAAACTCGAAAATTTTGACGAAAACAATACTTTCTCCATATACTATGGTATAGGGGGAGAAAGTAAAAATAAAACAGTATTGATATTGCATGATTGATATATGGCTTAGAAAGACATTTCCGATTAATTACATTTTCTCTTCAAAGTAACAGATGATGAAAAAGGGTCCTACTTCATTATTTGTACGTTTGACTGAGGCCTGTTTCCTTGTTCATGCCGTAGTTGATTAAAAGGTTTCTATAACATACGTATATTGTTTTATATCAGTTAAACACTCTTCTTTTATCAGATATAATTAATTGACATATAGTTGTAACCAAAACACTATATTTAAATTATTTACGTGTGAATTCTTCTTTATTGAGGAAAAGGGGAATGTGTAACTATTTCATACAACATAATTCAATACTAATTTTTTCACTCCAGTGTCTTCTCCGTTGCGAGGCACGGGTACAACAGCTAGTAAATAATATAAACCTTTTTGAATATGACTTACTTTTAAAACTATTTAGAATGATTTTGTATTTCTTTTTAAGATCTCGTCTCCTTAGTTAACTTTTCTGTGAATTTTTCAATCATAATTACTACTCATAAAACTGGTGATATGTTATGGAAGAACTTGTAATTTTCAGTTAGAATGGATTGTCAAGTACAGTAAAATACCTTTTCTTGTAGTTTTTTTAAGTTTTTTTTTTATTTAATGAAACATTTAATTTCACATTGATAATACATTTATTTTTTTCGTATCACATATAATTATATGTTTTATTATATTATGGATACCTTATGGTTTGTATGACAGTAATACCATAATTTTAGCCAGGAAAATGGATCAGGAATGATAAAACTAACTTGTCCATTGTTGAAAAAAACTAATAAGTCATTAGACATATTTTCCTTTATTTTAACCACCGAAAGAAGACTATATAATGCAGATATAATTGAAAATAATGCAATTCCCTTTACCGAGAATTTATATATTCTTTCTAAGACATGGTATTTTTTTAAAAAGTGCTCTTTAAACAAGTAGAACGGAACAGAAACAAGCAAACAGACAAAGCATAGCTAGAGAAGAACAAGCTCTGGACATACACGGTTGACAAAGCACACATCTTTACATTTATGTTTATTTACTTTGTAGAACCCCTCTTTAGATTTTGAGTATTATTTTCCTGTTTGAATAGCATTTGTCCAAAAACACAAATGCAAATCATATCCTGCATATTAAATAATTATTGATGTCTTTATGCCGACGTATCTTTCAGCTAACAAATATTAAAAATACTTTTAAACTAGAACAGTATTGTTTTAATTTTTACCTTAATGAAACCCGCACATTCCTAGGGTAGAATTTGTTCACACTTAACTTTTTCCTTACCTTTCCACACTTTTAATACTTTCCAATTCCATATGCATGATGAAAATGGTATTTTACTGCTACCCTCTTTAATAAAAACGAAATGTTGGACTGTTCCCTTAAAATGTACACATATGGCATAAGATAACATGACTTAAGGTACATGGCGTGTAAAAATCTAAACACAAGAATAAAATTCTACCTCCATAGGAAAACCCCATATCGTAATAACAAATTGATAATGAAAACGACATTTTGAAGTTTTACCAGAAATAACAATAGAAAAAACCTCAATCATTCACTTATATGAAAGCTATTTTAAGGAAGCAGTTAGACCGGTATAGTTTATACTTAATCATACAAACAGTATCCAAACTTACCACACGTATGTATAAACATTTAATTTTTCGTCCAACAATTCATTTTGCAATTTTGTCTTATTATTTTCTTCTCAAGCAAACTTCAGTCCATGTTAATTGTATTTAATTTTATTATTTTAGGAAGAAACCGATGATCCTGAAATTCAATCAGCCCCTCCCTTATAAACAGTTATTAAAGTTAGAGCTAAATGTGGGTCAAATATTCCTAAATACCGTTGGATTTGCAAAGGTCAGTGACACTAGCGCCGGTCGACAGAGCGGTAATGTGCAGAACTAATGATGCTTTGCTAGCCGCCCCATTTAACATGGACTTCCACGCGGATGAGTCCCTACCACAGCGCTGTAAAAACCGTTTATCTAATGCAGAGACCTGATTAGCTTTTTAATATTTCGGCTCATTCGCCGTGCGCTTATTTATTAATTTAAATTGGTATTTTTTCTGATCTTAGAGTAATATGTTTTTAAAAGAATATTTTTATGTAAAATTGATTTATTAATAAAATATACTAAAATTCACTCAGCTCTTTCAAAATATATACATTTTCTAAGGGTACTTGGAAAACAAATGCTCTGCAAAAAAAAGTTTACTCAGTACAACCAAAACATACAGCAATACTTGTGTTTTACCGCACGTGATTTTCAACAGATAGATCTAATAGATAGATCAATACGATAATGCTTATTAGCCTACTGTACAAAGTTTTATGTATTTTCCCAGTGGCAAGAACTAGAATATTTACTTAATATTTATTAGAGTTATGGAGGATTATAACTTCATACCTGCAAGAACAAAGGCATAAGGTAACTAGTTCAAAATTAAATGTACAAAGTTAAAATTGATAACTAGGTATACAATTTGAATGTAGTGTACACACCATAAATGTATTTAAAAGAAGCTTTACAATGCATTTAACGATGTAGTACATGAAGACAAATCTATAACATTAACTCATTTTGGCATAATTTCCACACATAAATTATAATTGGATGAAATAAATACGTCATTGACACAAAGGGGTTCGTATTTTGACTTACATGTTGAATTAAATGAGATGACATTCACATGGATGTGACGCATGAGGTATCAGCTTTGTTAATGACTCTTGTGATTTGGATCCTTATCATTTACCCTTTAAAGCTAAATTATCAAGTAAAGTTGCGTCCAGTTTCAAACCTTTAAAAATTCATAATCTTTCTTTGGATCGAACCGTGCCCGTGTGATTACCAAATAGTTCAACTGATCCAATCTTACATAGTTATGACCAAGGTACCATAGATCTGACCAGAATGCTTGTTCCAGGAGCTGTTTTCGCCCAGAAACCCCAGTTGAAGCCGATGTCAGCGCAAACTGAACCTGTCACCAAGTCACAGAACGAGTCGTACGTGGTGACTTGCATCACGAATTCCACGGACAAGGGGGAATGGACGGGGCCAAAAGGGAAGCTGCCAATGGGGAGTGGCAGGTATACATGTTTATAAAGGTCCCAAGGAGCTAACAAATATTTGACTGTAAATCATGCTGTTCCGATTTAGATGTTTTGTAATTACTTCTCAGGTTGTCTCTAACAAGGTAGTTTATATAATCAACACATTGTAGATATTTTTAAGCTTTTGGTTACTTAAGGAAATCAATTTACATTTTTGCACGTGAAAAAGAGCCAGAATATCATAGCTTACATCAGATGAACTACAATAATTTTTTTCACGCATATATACTTAGTACCATACACAGGGTCCAGCATAAACATAAACGGATAATTGTAAACACTGGATATTGACAGCTATCGGGTACCGGTATGCACAAATTAAATGACCTTACTAATGTCATGTGCGTATTTTTCACCTTGTACTTCCCAGACACTACTTAAAACTAACAGTTTATAGGGTTTTAAGGCCTGGTTCCACAGGATGCGGAATCTCCGCCGTGCGGTGCGATTTTTTCCGCTGCGGAATTAAAACGACACTGGTTTAATGGAGTTCCCATGTGTGCGGTTCCACTGACTTGCGATTCCGCATCCCGAAATTTCCGTTCCGCATGGCGGAGAAATCATACTGGTCTGAGAGCAGTAGCAGTGCGGATTCCGCCAGCGGAGAAGAGTCATCAAATATTGCAGTTTCATTATGTCTTGTGCTGTAAAAAGAGTTATGGATGAACGTTTTTCTTCGACCGAAGAGGAAGAACTTGTCGAGTTGGTGTCTCAACATGATGTGGAAATCGCATGTCAGTGGATTTCTGAGAAATTAGCGAAGACGTATGCACACAATCACACCAGAATACATTCAAAGATAGAAGTTTGTTTAGGTCACGTTTACCTATATACAACATTTGAGCCAATTATAAAGTAATACCTATAATCTAACACCGAATTTCAACAAACCGACTGCTTAAATAAATTATTATAATACATTTAACATAAACTGTCGAAAATGGTAGACCTGACGAACAATTATCCTGAGATGTTTGGGTATCAAGTGTTGAACGGGATCTGATCGTGATTGAAACCCCTTAAGTTTCGTTAAATAAATAGCAAAAATTTTAAATATTGGTACATACCTTAGTGTTACCGCTAGTTTCATCTCGGCATTCAATGGTTGTTTGTCTCGATTAGTAGCGTTGGTGGGTAAGTCATCTTTGATGAGATCAACCAAAAAGAAAAATTGGTCTTTTGACACACGGAAGTACTTAGTTTCGTTGTCAACTAAATGATCACGAACCAGAATGTTATACGCCCCTTCACTGTCCCGATTCTTAAATATGTCACTTCGGTCACTGCGACTTGACACTAACAAAGATAAAAGATCGACAACATCATCATCAATGTCATCATATAACATCAAAGCCAAAAGGGCTTTCCTCTTTCTATCCATACTCGTCGCTAGTTTGGACAGAACTGAATCTCCGCAACGTTATTTTCGCAGTCTGTAGAACCACCCCTCTGATTTTTCGCTGCGTAATTTTCCGCTGCGGAAAATTACGCACCGCATGGCGGAGATTCCGCATCCTGTGGAACCATAGCTTTAGTGATATATTTCACACAATTTTATATCTATATCCCACCCTGATTATAAACATCCTGCATCATTTATCTTCTGTATTTTTTTTAAAGTCGACTGTTCATATTGTCTCTTACGAAACAAATATTTTTAAGTGATAGTTATCTTTTCGTATGGCCTAATAATAAAATTGAGATATTTAGTTCATAGTTATGTTAGGTAAATAAACAAAACGGTTTAAATCTACAATTATAAAAAGGTAAAACATAAATTAATCTTTTCTTTATAATAATGATCGAATTTGTAAAAAAAATATACAGGTATGATTTGTTTGTCCACCAATAACAGTTTATGTTGCAATTATATCCTACGAATTTTACTTTAGATAAGAAGAATGACTTCTACAAATGAAAATGCAACAGACCCTCTTGATTTGTTAATTTTATGGTTTATCACTTTATTTAAAATTTTATAAAGTATTGATTCGTTCTATTACTAAGTAACCTATCTAAAAATTCAAAATTTCGTTATTGATTTTGAGTTTGAAATTACATTCTAAACACAGCCTCATAACAACGGCGCCTTGGTGTCGCGTCAGACCTATTTATGCCTTGGGGGGAGTTTAAACGCATTCAGAATATTATTCGGGCGAGTTATTCAACCATAATAATATTGCATGATGCAGGTTATTCAACCGTATTCATGGGTTATGTGATGTTGTTTATTTTATTATAGTAAGCACAAAATTAAAACATTAAATAACTGTCTTGTCTCCTTTATAAAAATTGTCAGTTTACATTCAAAATCCCTTCACATATCACATTCAGTTTTAAAAGCAATTACAGTACTGAAAGCCTTGGTTGTAAAATATTTAAAATTTAAATTCTTTTTCCAAAAAGCTTTTTATAATCCTATAAATGCACGGTATTTGTACTTAGAATATATACTTCATTATGTAGAATTAATAGTTAACAAGTATATTTTTAAAATCAACATTTACCTAAACAATTTAATATAAATACTGAGTTTCTGTTACGGTCATTAGGAATATATTTTTTATCTAACAAAGTAAAATAAATTGTAAAGTATTTGCACCTCATAGAGGCTTAGTTGTTTACTAATCATTGACATAAATTATTTTAATGAATGAGGCAATTTAAAATAGCTAATCTAAAATGCTCTCTAACTTATATATAAGAACAAAATTGTGTCGTAAATTAGGTAGTTGAGGGATAAGTTTTGCAGAAACCATGTCATTAAATAGCATTATAGGAATAATGCTATGTCATATTCTCTGTGGGATTCTTAGCATAAGATAGAGCACAAATAAGTTAGTAAATATAAGGTGTGTTAAGCAACATGAAACTGTTATATATCAGGGTTGTTTTCTCGTTAAACCACTAGTCACGAAACAGAGCTACATCTTAACTAAGATCCCAACAAAATATTACTGGCACGCCTAGTGAAATAAGTCCCAACGTTCTAAATATAAAAAATATCAGTAAAGCTCATTAGTATCATTCTATTGCATGGCAAATATTGATTATTAAATTAATTTGAAAAAAATATTTACTATCGTTTTACATTGTATTTAACGGACCCTGTTTGTAAGTGTGGACATTTATTTAATGAACGTCAAACGTAAGAGCTTTACGCTACTGTAAATGAAGTAATTAAGGATAAAACCTTATGATTACTGATTTTACAACACTTTTGACGTTTTAGGTTTTATTTCATGAATAAAAATCATCATCTCATTACTGTGGGGAAATGTAAATACTCTGGAGGATCGTGAAACAATTTTGGCCCATATGATCGCTCTAATGTGTTTTTACGACATAGGTATCACAATTTCTTAAATATATCAAACTATTCTTAATAATTGTAAATGGGACCGACTTCTCAGTTTAGGATATTATATGCTTGAGGGAAAAAGATAACTCTCAAGAACAGCTTATGCAACTTCTAGCGACAAAACCCCTGTTATATATTATTAAACTAATGAGATTGGGGACTTACAGTAAAATAATTCAATTCAAAATATATTGAAAATATATTTCAACAGGTTCCGGAATACATTATGTCCTAATAAACTAAATTAACATTTCAACAACCATACAACAAACCATCACTTCTAACCAACATAAAAATGTACAATTATTTGTCGGTGTAAAAATCGTCACAGACCTTTTGTTATATGGTAGTGTAATTTTTTATCACATAATGTTTTTTTTTTCAGAATTCACGTAGAGGACCGCGGAACTTATGGGCTTTCTCTGATGTTCGATCGTATAGAAATATCGGACAAAGGACTATACGTGTGCAAGGCCAACAAAGATCAAGTCAGCTTTACTCTCAATGTCATCAGTAAGTATACAAAGTGGCATTTGGATATCCTTTAAAGTGTTGAGTTTTGTCAGAATTGATTCGTTTTACCCCTTAGCTTATTTTTGTTTTTATCGATGGCAGTAAATGTTAGAGAAATATACGTCATGACATAAATTAAGCTTTTTAACGATATACATTATTATGTTTGCAATTTAAAGATTTTTTTTTTAAGTTAGCCTCTCTCTTATAACTAATGATGGGACATACACATCTGCAAGCCACTATAAAAATGTAATTTCCTTTGAGATCGTGATACGAATTTAATTTAATATGTTGGTAAAATAAATAGAAACTATTCAGTTATGATATAGAGGTATAGCCTTTATCATAATCCCCTTAGAAAATTTAATATTTATAATCACATAAAAAAACAAAAACAAACAAACTTCGGCATAAATGGTGAGTAAATGATGGTAACTCAATTTATTTCATAGGACATAATCCCTAACAACTTAAAGTAGCAACTTATATTTCCAGTCTAATGTTTCTGCTTGCACAGAACTATTTAAGTCTGTCGACAATAGACATGGACAAATTATAAATAACCAATTTAAAGCCATCACTCATATGTCATACAATAATTGTATAACATTTATAGTTTCTGAGACTATAATGTTTTCTCCATATAAACTAGGCATTGATGTATACATTTTATTTCACAGCTGTTCCTCGGTTAAAGAACAGTCCCTTGGTGCAGCACGTAAAGGAGTTTGGTACTAAGATTATTAAGTGTGAAGTAGAGGGGGAGCCAAAACCTGTAGTCACTTGGCAGAGGAATGGTGTATCTGTTGAAGGTAAATTTATCTCTCTAAACTAAACATATGTTAACAATCTACTTTTGTTCAGCAATATAATTATTGGAAGAAATAGTATTTGTAAAATGCAAATACATTGATTACACTATAATCATGAGTATAAAAATATGCTAACGTGAGCTTTTTGGTACCCACGTTAGAGACACAAGAAAAAAAAAACTGTGTGAAGAAGTTACAAAAAATCATTAAAAAACAACTAAACTACCATACTAGTTTGCTTTGAGAAAGGGAATTCCGATATTTTTAGCGAATTTTCCCTATAGGGAAGTAGCTATTACCGTAGGTGGCACGGTAAGACCTAGGCCCGGGACCGATTTACTTTTTCATTTTGATGTCCCCAGAGGCCAAAAACACCATTCGTTCAAATTTTTATATATGTATATATAAATATATATATATATATTTATATATATATATACGTCCGTGAACGCGATAACTTGAGTAATTTTTATCCGATTTTGATGAAATTTGGTTCAAAGGTGTAAGGCGGGATAAACTTGAATGAGTTCGCGAACCAGCATGATCGGACCATGGGAACGGGGTTTTACGGGGGGTTTTATGGTGTAAAAAATGGTTTTTCTAATTTTTGACCCTCAAAACACAAAATTTTCTAATTTCTCTCCAAACCTTTTTAAAGGGCTCAAAAAAACAAATAATTTAGTATATTAAAGTGTTTTTGTACGGTTATTGGTAATAGAGAAAATTAAAAAAAATTGTAAATTTAAAATTCCCATGCTATTCTTATGGACAATATTGTAAAATGTTGTAGTTTGCTTGTTTATGGATATATTTTGATCAAACTTGGCAAATTTATTTATTTTATACTAAGTTATTAATATTTTCAAAAAAATACACTTTATTAGTTTCCTTTTGGCAGCAAACCTAGGTACTCATTAAACCTAAAATGTTATTTAAATAGGGTTAAAAATCTATTCAGACAAATGGAAATTCGCTTAGTCGGCAGGTTTGCTGCGGCGGGGGTATTTTAATTACATATTTTCCATAGATTTAATTTTTGGCTTAATTTTATAATTCGATTAGTCAATAATAATAAGGTCCTCTGTATTCTTTTAATCCTCATAACCAAACGTGTCATTTACCAAATTCGTATATTACTTTGATGGAATATCGCGATTTTTCTTTGTTAACAGTTTAGGAATTTAGGTTTTTGAATGGTTTAAATGTCTATCTATATTACTCATATTATTTTTTTTTACTCTAATATATAACATTTTTCACAAAATATTTTACCAATTCTACCAAAACCTATTTTGAGTTCTTTTTACGTTTTTGGGTAACAACTTGGATTTAGTATTTTTACTTTTTTATATCATTATTTCTAATGGCCTATTATATTTTACCAATAAACGAAACATATTTCTATTAATTTTTATATGCAATGAAAGGAATTTGCTTACAAATTCGTGGAAGGAGGTGTTAAAGGTATCCCTTTTGATTTTTCTAGACAAATTATGCTCCAAGTATCTGTGAACCATAAAAGAATGTTTTTCTATCTCTCTCAACAAAGTTAAAATACAGGCATGGAAGTTCTTTTTCATCCCATAAATTTTAAAACTAAAATGCATGATTATAAATAACAAGATTATATCGTGTTTTTTACGTATTCGAGTATTTCTAAACCTTTGCTCTATTTATATTTGTATTTGATAAAACAAACTACGCGGACTTATACTGTTATTAATTATACTTAAACTGTTATGATAGTACGTACTCGTATGCTAATAATAATCCGTTTACAGAGATTCCAGACAGGAAGTACGTCCCGGACTCGTCAGGGCTGAAGATCATCAACGCGACCAAGAAAGACGCTGGCCTGTTCACCTGTAGGGCGCTACAGATCAGCAGCGGCGCCAGCTCGATATACACCTGGGACATCACGCTCAAAGTCGAACGTAAGTTGTAACTGTTTTGAGTATTTTAGGTTTAAATTAAATTCTTAATTTTACTAAAGAAACCACAAGTATTGTCGTAGAAGAGTTGCATTTATAGCTGCTACATTGGTTGACAAGCGTCATATGAAATTAAATTGGAGATTTTGGAATATAATTTTTACCTTTTTAATTAGGACGTAGCCTATTGGGTACTGAGAAAAATAAAATAAAATTTTAAATTATGAAATCAGTTGTTTTGTCATCTAGCAAAAAAAATGAATAAAACCTAGTGAACAGAGATTTTAGTGTGTCTAAAATTTTCATACTCCTACACTATGTTTGCTTCTAATACGTTTTATAAGGAATACCGATAATGAATTGGTATTACCTAATTCCAAAATGTATGCAATCAAACAGTGGTTCATACAAGCAGCTTTGCATGAAACACAAATTAAAAGCTGTGAAATTATTAACATGAGCAATAAAGTCCTTCGTTATTTTTGCAAAATACAGTAGTTGTGATTTTTTTCAAGCCGTGTTTAAATGTTACATTGTTTGTTATTTATGCATCCCTATTCCGTTCGGGATTGGTTTTAAAACAAATGTTCTATACATTCAGATAAGCCGGAATGGAAGGAGCCCGGAGGGGAAGTCAAGGCCTTCGGTTACTTGACTGGGGAGACCAACCTGACGTGTGAGGCTGTAGCAGAGCCTGAGGCCAACTATACTTGGAGTAGAGTGAACCATTCACACAAACATCTGCCTCGCAACACTACTGAGATACGCGAGCCCGGCCGCAGTGTACTCAAGGTAAATCTGATGTTTGAATTGAAAAATGTTTAAAACTTTTTTCGACACAGTACAACTGTACTTTTCACACTCATGCCATAACTGTATTTTGTAAGGACACAATCTTAGGTGGGATGAACTTCCCAGTTAATTTGATAATGGGTTTTAAATCCACCCATTGAAACACGGGAATTATTGGCTTGGGCAAGCTTAACATTGCTCACATTCAGTAAAACCTTAAAGAGAAAGTGAGAAAATGATTTAGAGTAAGCATAATTCTAGTACACAAAATGTGCTCTAAGAATCTTGAGATTCAAAGAAACGCTCACTAACTAAAGGTGATTTAATTGGTTTCCTTAGTCATTCTCACATTTACATAAAAACTTAAATCGACTTCCCCCGAAAACCACTGAAACTCACCTCACTTTCTGATATTCCAGATGCAGGTACACAACGACTCCTACGGGACCTACAAGTGTGAAGCTGTCAACCACCTTGGCAGGATCAGCCGTGTGTTCACCCTAAGTCCCGGGGAGAAGCCAGGGGTTCCCACAGGAGTACGTCTGGTGGAGACCACTGTCCACACCGCCACTCTCAAGGTTGCCAGCGATACACCCCCTGATGACTTGGTGGGGTACAGGGTGCAGTTTGTCATCACTCGTCCAGGGGTGGAAATCTCCTGGGAACGACCAGACTTCCAGGATATCCCGAAACGTCAGTAGAAAAATATTATGTTATAAGATTCACATTATACAATTCTTTGGGTATTCATTCTCCATAACATTGTAAATAGAAACAAACAAAAACAGAGTAGGCTTTCTCATTTGTGATTGATTAAAATTTCAACTACTTATCACCAGTCCTATTAATAAAGCCATTTAATATAGTTAAGTTGGAAAATAAAGGACACAGTTCAACTATTTACTCTGATCTCCCGTTAATATTTTTCTTTTGGAAAATCGTGGTCAAAACCGTACCATGTAGTAGCTAAAGTAAGCAAGTGTGTGTGTGTTTTAAGTGTTTATTTTAGATCCTTGAAGCCGATGCGGCTTGGAAAATGTAAAATTTAAAGCGCCTTCACTTTAATCCTCATAGAATGAATTTAATGTTATATGTAATTTAAAATGTTCTATAGTATTAGACTAATAATCTTTAAACGTCACCAGTAGCTGAACCCTGAGCATGATGGTGGTTTTACATTTTGCATTTGGAAACCCCTACCTACCTACTATACTCTTCTATCTTACTTCACTTTCATTGGTTAAACCTAAAACTCCTTTTAAAAAATTTGAGGATTAGTACTGGTTTAGGGTAATGATTAATTACATTTTGTTTCAGATGAGAAAAAGCACTACGTTGTTGTGGATTTGTTGGAAAACACGGCCTATGCAGCGAAAGTCGCCACCCGGAGTGTTGCGGGCCTCAGCGACTTTACTGATGACTTTGTAACTTTCAGGACACTAAAGAATGGGGTGAGTATAAGCTTTGACTATTCAGTAGCAGGGCTAGAAGCCCTGATTCAGTAGTCAATGGTGTAAGGTAGTTCCTTAAATTTTGCAATGTGAAGGTGGTTCACAAAATGTTTCTTTAATTTTTTGTTTAGTTAAACATATACAAATTGCTGAATATGAATTAATGATTGAATTGCATTTTGGCTTATATTTCACCATAATATTCTACAACCACGTCACATATTGGGTATTCCAATCTTCCCAGAAGTCTTAAAAATCAATTTTTTGTGTTACTTTTTTATGTGTAAAGTTCTACTGAAATCAAAAACTTATAAACAAATTTATAGTTACGAGACTTATTTTTAAAACACGTATTGATGAGCTCTAAAACAAAATACATTAATTTTTGACAATTTATTAATTTTAGTTTACAAAGTTATTATGCCTTTTTATGTGTAAATCATCTTTCTAATACAGTGCAAGCTAATTTAACCACTTTTTTACAACGTTCAATAATGCAGTTCAATTGAATAATGATTATGAATGAATTTCAATAAAAGTATACTTTGTTATTGACGAATATTAAAAAGTTATATTACCTCAATAAATTGGTCAAATAATACCACGGATGATTTGATTTGAATAAGATTATTCTAAAAGTAAACTTGAATCCAATCCTTCAACTTTGTAGCTTATAGTGTTTAAAGTATATATTTGAACTTTTAACCGCTTAAATTTGAAACATGTTTGCTATTACCTTGAAAAAAATATTGTGAATCTTAATTAAGAATAATTTTGATGGGTTACTAATTGTTTTGTTATTTGTGAATTGTGTTTGTTTGGGGATATACTTAACGATAGTTTGTTTATACACGTTATTTTTATATAATGACATACTTAATTCTGTGATTTTTATTTCAGGAACCCAGTGCATCTTGGAGGGTAATCTGTCAACCAATTGCCGTCATATTCTCCATCATTATTGCGTCAGCCGTCCATTAGTACTGACAACAACGCCACGGAATTGGTAACACTTAATTATGCATTTATTCGTTACTATGGACATTAAATTTTCCATGGAGAGTTTAATGAGCTACTAATCAACAAAAATTTTTAAAGATTTTTTGTAAACCGACCTATAAATTGTTTGACAGTTTTTATATCTATACTAAAATGTCGATATTCTACATTATGAAAGAAATATCTACAATTAAAAAATTATATACTTTTGATTTTTTTCGGTCTCTAATCAAAATGAAGGTTTCAAACTTATTTATTAAAGGAAATTTTATATTTTATCTAGGACGTTAATGATTGTTTGTTCAATATAAAATTATATGGATACTACGTTTGGATAAAAAAAATAAGTTGATATAGTTTAAAGATGTTTACAGGGTGTCTTAAAATTTAGAACGTTAATGTTAACTACTTTTAACAATTCTCACCATCAGCTAGAATTTATATTTCCATTATGTATGACTATAACTACTATAAGTTTGATTTAAAATCATAAAATACAATTATTAAAATGTTACGTAGGTTATCTGCATTATCAAATCGTTTCTAAAATGTAAATATAAACAATATAAAGACTCTATATTGCCTTCGTTTAGATCAAAGTGTACACAATTATCAAATAATTGTAGCTATTATTTGTTAAGTAAAATATCTACTGACGCTTTTGTATAATCGGTGGTGAATCGTAATTAAAACATAAGTTGACGATGAAAAGTATATACACGTTGGAAGTGAGTGTTGCTTTATGTTTTGTGTGATATATGTGAGACGAGGAGATATATATTTTGTAAATATGTAGTATATGTCACCACAATTATGTAAATATAGTATAACGATGTAGGTACTAATTAATTAAAGCTAGGAATATTCACATTATCCTCAAGGCTTCCAAGTGGCTGATGATAATACCTATAATTATTATACCTATTAAATTATTAAATAATTTAAATTTTTGTAAGTTTTTTTAAATCATATAATTTACATTAAAGTAGTTATTAATCCATGGATGAAGCATGCGCTTAATGCGCTTAAAGACTCTCTGAATTCTACTCGGAGAGTTTAAACATCAATGTTTTAGAATCTATCTTATGTATATATTTTTTTCTTTGAGATTTCCCATGCTTGATATGTTCCCATTGTTACATATACATGTAAATATCTGGTGGTATAACCATATCGGCCACTTGGAGTCGTTAACAATCACATTCTCCCAGCTTACTGTTCCATCTATCTGTGATGTTCAACGTAGTAATTTGTTTAAATATTTCTAACAATACTATTAATACAAACATTCCTAACCATAGCTTGTACTGGTTGTTTTACCATCCTCTTTAATGCCAAAGAACATTATATTGATCTATTTACAAAGGAAATCTTTTAAGTAAATTATTAGATTATAGATTATAAGTTGTCTTAAAAATATTAAATTTTGTTACGATAAATCCTACTGTATTATTTGAATCGTAATTTGTTGAATAAAGAATATATTTCATAATGACTTACCTTTTTTCCTTGTATTTTTGGTCAATTTGTCGTATCGTAATTGTTGCTAACGTCAAGACATACTATATCAAGAAAAACCTTTAAATCCAAAGGGATTAGTTGTGTTTTAAGAATTCCTAAATTTATTTAATTTTGTCTTTATCAGGTTCAGTAAACATCCCAGTAAGCTCACAATATGTTCAAGATTTACTTGCCATTTTTTAATATTCAAAGAAGGAACCGCCAATCAAGCTGGTTCAAGCTAATCTTGAGCCAATTCACTATTTTTCCCATAGATGAGATGCCTAATCTGTTTATTACAATACATCAACAGTTTCTCTATCTTTAACGGTTTGGTACGTTTTTAGTTTCAAGGAAGGTTTTTATATATTTTAAATGCATATTAGACTACGCACTGATGCACAGTGGCATATATAGAAGTGGTAATCTAAAAAAAACATGTATAATCTATATTTTTTATTTTTTTCTTGGGCTTTGACACGGTTAAGATTGCCAAAAATCATCAAAATTGAAAAAGAATTCCAGTGCAACAAAGGAATAAACAAAAATTTACTTGGTCTGCAGATATGCTGCAGCGTGGTTGTTTTTCTCTTTTTAAATTGTTTATATTTGGCTACAGGTGAAAGAAAGATATTTCACTACGCCGAAACAAAACTCGCCCACACAAAATGCTCCAAACCTAATCAGGTACTTTATAACACCAAGCATCAGTAGGAAATAATATGTCTTCAGATTAATATCAGAAATTTCTCATCAAAAGAACAAGACAAGTATTGCCAAAGTCTTTCGATCTGATGTCGTTTCTCAAGATGTATCCTGTAACTTTAATGAGGAAACTTTGTTCTATTCATTTCAGATCGCTTTTAATATTGGTATTGGGTTTTATACAAACACCTTACTTGTTCAGGTAGAATAGAAGTTTTGAAAATCCAAAACTCATTAATATAACGAATAGTCTATATAGAATATTATATTTAAACTACGGGTTGAAGAATCAATTAATTCGTTCACGTCAACGATGATCCTAGTTATTCTATAGGTAATTTATGTTATTGAAAATGTATGTACATTCCTTTGGTAGGAGTAAGGGCAATTGAACTTGAAGGTTTCCCCATTCTAAAATCACACGTTTCTTCTCTGGCAATATATCTACAAGTCAAAGTTTTACTTAACTAATTATATTTTCCCAAAAAGCATAATCAGCATCTGTTATTAATTAAAAATGGATAAATTTTTTATAGTGTTAAATATTGTAAATTGTATTTTATAAAAATTAGTTAGTTCAGTTATGTTTAAATAGTTGAATAGATTTGATGATTGGACCCATAAAACGGTTGAACTTAAACATGACACACAATCAATAATAAATCATACGTTTTGAACTATAGTGCTATCAGGGATTTTTATTTTTCCTAGACCGAGGTGATAAAAGAAATATACCGATCATGAACCGACCAATGAACCGATCAATGAACCGACCAATTTAACACCATGACCAACCGACCAATGTAACACCATGACCAACCGATATACCAATACAACCACAGACATATTGTGAAATTATACAATTCAATATTTAATTTTTGAGGTGATACAATGCATTCTAATAATCAAATTTTTTTACATCAACGAAAAGTCTATCTTTTCACCTACTTAATGCAAAAAGATATACATTTTTACTCTAAAAATTGTAATGCTATACAATAATCAAGTCCAATAGCCCATTAAACTATGTTAGTCTCATGCAATTACACAACCCTATGTCACCTATATCTCTACACCCACCTACTGATAGCAATTTGCAGCCTGAGGGTCAACAATTGATGTTGCTGACCTGAGCTATTGGCAATAATACGGTTGACCTCTCCTCTACCCAATATAACGAAGCGAGGGTGTATTTCTTGGAACGATTACTAAGAATTCGATACAAAACTAAAGGTAAACTTTTTCTTATTGTTGTTAAAGTATAAGACTCCTTTCTTAGCAATAGTTAAAGTGTGTGATAAAACATCGTATGCTTATGTCTATCTAATAAATGTTATGAACGTATGTTACGTTTACAATACAAATTAAAAATTACTGTGAGCGATTTATTTCGATGAAATCTTCTTTGTTAATATTGCATTTTAGACCTTAGAACTATTTACAAAGCTTGAATATAATAATGTCTCAACAAAGCATTAAAGTGCTTAGTTAAATATGATATAAATATTAACAAAACAAATTAAACTGTACTAAGTTTATTAATCAAGTGAACAAATAGAATAAAAACTACTTTTTATTAACATTCAACGATAATTCAATTTCAATCAGAATTATTACTCCAATAAAATATTTCCATGTGTATTATCTGTTGTCCTGGCAAAGCTATTAATATTTAATTAGATACGCAACATAGTGTTCATCAACTCTGTTATTAAATGTTAATTTCAATACTAAAATGTACTTTTTCTATCATATTAGCAGATTTCAAATTATTTGTTATGGATTCAAACTTTTCTCATACATTTTTGCACTTGCATGTGATAATGATGTTTCTATTAAAATTACAGTTTAAGACATGCTATGTCCATCTATCTATCTTTTGAGTGGTGAAATCTAATGTTTAAAACATTTACACTCAGAAAATACGGGTTCATACACTTCAATCACAGAACACTAGTACCTGGCATTTAACTAAAAAAAATATTTAAACTGTTTAGTACGGTTGAAGGTAATATTTTTTGGGTTCGAGTAGTCAATACAAATTTTAACATGAAATTCAGACGAAACAAGACATTGTGACTAGTACTTGGACAAAATATTATGAGGATGATTTTCTTAAATATTAAATACCCAAATAATTATAGCTCTAACAGATTAAATGTGTGTTTAGGTTATAACAGTAATAGTGTTTCTGAGAACATATTTTGTTTTTTAATGTATTTTAAAGAATTATTCCTGAATAATTCAACTTAAATGCTTCAATACATATTTAGTTGGTAACTTGCACCACTACCTTGTAAAAAAACTATTATCAAATAACAAGAATTGCATTTAAGTATGACGACAACCTTGTACAAAACCTTTCTATATCGTAGTGCAATAGATAATTCTGAGAATCAGAATGCATACTTTGATTCCATTATTATCGTCGTTTTGTATTGCAATACTTAGCCTACTATATTCTTAAGGTCTATAGTATATATACATATATAGAGGCTTCCTTCCATATCACACAGCTCATCAAATCTAGCCAAGGTTACTTGTAAGTCTTGCTCTGACTCTAATGGCCTTAGTATTCACCATTAATAGTTAAGTTGGTTAATATTATATTTTAAAGTTTTAAATTGAATTTCAACGAACGCATCCATTAACGTTTAAAAGTAAAAATAATTTAGGAATTGTAGCCAGACAACCATTAAACGGTTACCCTACTAAAAATGTGTTAAGTTTAATTATTATTTTGTTTGCATGTAGTGAAAAATAATATTACATTTTGGATGCTGGGATGTTTTTTTCTTATATCTATCACAAGATAATTGGTGTAATTTTAATAGACAGGTTGTAATACGATCTTTAAAATAAAGCATTTGCAGCTGTATATTTCATATATTTATTTTGAATCAGATATATTTGTTATATATCAGTAAGAGACACATCTTTCACCTGGTTTACGTGCTAAGACAAAGCTTCTTTCCGTGCCCAGATATTAAAAGGGATAAAAAACTGCTCTCTTAAACCTAGTAACACTTTTTATTCTCAACACCACAAAAATATTCTCCATTTTAACCTGTGTTTCCTACTCTTACATGTGAAAAATGAGTTCAATTGCAATTTAAACGCTAATAGTTATATAATATCAGGCTTTAATAAAGAATTATCTATCGATAATTTTAATAACGTTTATGACAATATTTGCAGGATATACGTTTAAACATTTTATTTTTACTTGTTTTTTTAACTATAAAATCATATAAAATTAATGGAGGCAACATAAATATCACCTCCAGCAAAGCCCCGGTAAAGACTTTGTTTACATCAACACAAGGACGCCAAAGAAATATAATCTCAAAACTTTCCTTTTGCTTTCAATATGTTTGAAAACATTATATTCAAGCGCAGCAGTTTGTAGGTAAACTATAAGATTTATATCAAACTACTTAGTCGTGTATTTAATGTATTTACTAATATCAACCATATCAAAATCATTAGTATCTTATTAAAGAAACCATAAATATTTAGAAAATTTCATATGAAAATAATTTATGTTTATGTTTAGATAATTTGTGTATGGTCATGTCACCTTAATCTTGGTCTGGAGAAGATAGAAATAGTAGTTTAACGCATTTTGCTTTTGTGTGTTTTATGTGTTATTTTGTGTGTTTTGAACTTATAGTTTACATCAACACAAGGACGCCAAAGAAATATAATCTCAAAACTTTCCTTTTGCTTTCAATATGTTTGAAAACATTATATTCAAGCGCAGCAGTTTGTAGGTAAACTATAAGATTTATATCAAACTACTTAGTCGTGTATTTAATGTATTTACTAATATCAACCATATCAAAATCATTAGTATCTTATTAAAGAAACCATAAATATTTAGAAAATTTCATATGAAAATAATTTATGTTTATGTTTAGATAATTTGTGTATGGTCATGTCACCTTAATCTTGGTCTGGAGAAGATAGAAATAGTAGTTTAACGCATTTTGCTTTTGTGTGTTTTGTGTGTTATTTTGTGTGTTTTGCGTGTTTTGGGCTCCACCTTCAAAGTTAATAAATGTCGAAACAACCCTCAAGACAGTTTTCTTATACTGAGTTCATCATCGTAAGCTATTTAAACGTAAACATATCACTATTGCACCAGTAAAATCTTTTTGTGTACCGTGTTTGTACAAAAAAGCAAAGGGTTAGGAAAAGTACCGCTGTCTGACTTTGCTCTAGATAAAACTAACTTAAAAATATAGCACTAATCAGGATGTGAACA